CAGTTATATTATAAAATAGTCGATGGGGTGTTGCTCAAATGCTTAAACCAAGAAGAAGCTAAGGTGTTGATGGGTGACGTACATGAAGGGATATGTGGAGCTCATCAATCGGCTTATAAGATGAAATGGATTATCCGTAAAGCTGAACATTTTTGGCCAACGATGTTGGAAGATTGTTTTGAATATTACAAAGGATGCCAGGACTGTCAATGTTTTGGTAATGTCCAGAGATCGTCTGCATCGGCCACAAATCCAATAATCAAACCATGGCCGTTTTGAGGTTGGGGAATTAATTTAATTGGCCAGATTTTTCCGCCTTCAAGCAAAGGACATAAGTTCATATTGGTAGCAATAGATTACTTCACTAAATGGGTTGAGGCAATTTCTTTGAAGACAGTGACCTCAAAGAACATGATTGATTTTGTCATGGAACACATTGTGTATCGTTTTGGGATTCCTCAAACCATAACTATGGATCAAGGAACAATGTTCACATCAGAAGAGTTCGGGGATTTTGCTACCAGTATGGGAATCAAGCTACTAAATTCCTCTCCTTACTATGCTCAGACTAATGGCCAGGCAGAGGTGTCCAACCAGATTATGATTAAGCTGATCAAGAAAAAGATCGAGGAACAGCCAAGGAAGTGGCATTCGACGCTAAATGAGGCGCTATGGGCGTATAGGATGGCCTGCCATGGATCAATTAAAACGTCGCCCTACGAACTTGTGTATGGACATAATGCAGTTCTTCCTTGGGAAGTTCGGACTGGGTCAAGGCGTGTCACGTTGCAGAATGATTTGTCAGCCGAAGTCTACAAGAATCTTATGATAGACAATTTGGAGGACTTGAGTTGCCTTCGGCTGCGCACTCTTGAAAGTATCGAAGCCAATAAACTGAGGGTTACGAAATATTATAATAAAAAGGTCAAGTTCAAGCAATTCTCTGAAGGAGACTTGGTCTGGAAAGTGAAATTGCCGATCGGGTCAAAGGACAGTAAATTCGATAAATGGTCACCTAACTAGGAAGGACCTTATCGGATCAAACGTTGTGCGCCTGGTAATGCTTACATCTTGGAAACACTAAAAGGGGAGGAAGAATTTGTCCGAGCAATCAACAGGAAATATTTAAAGGAATATTATCCTAGCGTTTGGATCAATACTTAGTAAACGATCTGTTCGGTCGATGGCTTCAATAGCCGATATTGGAAAGATATCGTCTTCAGTGCAAAAAATGAACCCAGAGGAGTAAAAGCCGATACGATGTGTATCGCCTATAGAGGCAAAGCGAACACGAACAAAGTGACGGGTACGAAGCATGAAACAAAGGGAAATCGCTCAAGGCAAGAAAGTTGTTTGCTAAAAGTCGCCTATTACAAGCTACGGGCTGGAGAACACTTTGCCTACTATATCATTAGCCAGGGTATTGAAAGCTACAGAGTTCACGGCACTCGTAAAATTCTCAACCAAGCGCTCATGCTCCCAAGGGTACTTTACGTCCGGAAAGCCATGGGGAAGAAGCCAAAATTATGGCCCGAACGTGCTTGCGCAGCAGCCAACGCCATGGCAGCGCCATGACGAACTCCATGAAGGGCGACCTCCCTGATCGAACCACCAGAACGGCACCCCTGGCATTGACAAATCCCGCTGCATGATCCACGGCTGATTGAAGACTCTCCAACTGAGCAGCTAGATCTAAAATATTCAAGGAAAGAGTGATCAGAAATCTTAATGGTGAAATCAAGGAAAAACAGAGAAGTAATGGCAGGCATCTCACCCATGATTCTGGCTTCAGCCCTGACCAACCTTTCTCTCACCAGGCCGACCTCAGGGGGTGATCGGTCTTCAATCATGGCCAGAGCCAATTCCGCTAGGGAGAGGCAGTTGGCTAGATGCTGGTCGGTCCGATCTATGGAGGCCAGCAGATCATCATTACTGATCTGTCGCCTCGAGTGACTAGGAAATTGGCGGCAAATTGGTACTAGAGATGCCCCCGAGGGCTGGGCAGAGTCATCCCTTTGATCCGAAGCGATGAGAACACCCCAAGATGCATCCTCTTAACAACGAAGACGCTGGCGTGATGATGTAGATCCGTTGAGGGCTTCTTCAGCAGACCTCTTGCTGTTCTCTATGACCTCAAATCTACGGAGAGGCGGGAAATATACTAAAGACGAAGAAGGATTGAGACGAAGAGGGTTGTTTTTGATCCATAGCCGTAGCCCGTATATATAGCCCTGGAAAGCGAGAAGATAGATTTCGATGGTGGTGTGAAATTGAAATCAGAAATGGAAACGGATCAACACTCCGAAAATTCGGGGGACGGATAATGAAGATATAACGGACTCGAATTTATTGCTTCCCCAAATTACAAAATATCGTGGGAACGGATACATTGACCAGAAATTGACCCACCAAAACTTCTTTGGATTGAAGGGAGTCTGGATCTCCACAAGGCCAAAACCCATTGTGAACCGAGTCCCATCGACCCATCGATAAAATTGTACCAGAGAAGAAGAAAGGTCACCTATCTAACATATGCTCAGCAAATTTCTCGACAAATTGAGGAACTATGGGAAAGAAGCCTGAGGCTTTCCCGGTGGATGTTTGGAGGAGCAACAAGGGGAAGGTGTCCACACATTCCAGCCCTCATAAACACTAGAACAACTTTGTGAGCATGGAGAGAAGACTCGGGTGATATCACAAGAATTCTTCTAACCGCAATGGCTGATCTTCTTGCTCAACAAGGCGCTAGGATAAGTGACACAACCACCCTATTCACAAGAATTCTTTTATCCGCTTGAGATCTTCATAAGATAGACCACGGAGGGTCCAGCGGAACTAGGGGCGCTCGAGGGAGCAGATGAAAGCAAAACATGGCTGAATTGCTGAGTTGCTCTCGCCAAGGCCAGATAGGCATTTTATAGCCGGCCCGGGAAGATGAATCCAAGTGCCCGTGAGGCAGTAACACTCTTGTAAAAAGTTTTGAGGCATGGGCTCATGAGTGGACGTAAGCGGCGACAAATAGTGGACCCCAGACCAAGGTTCTCTACCCGTGACTGTGAACCAATCAGGGATACAGACATAATAATTTTAGAATAAAATTACTTTTATCCCAAAATTGGAGGGTATGTGTTTACACCAAAATTTGGAAGAAGAGTCATAGGGACTCGAAAGCTCCCAAGATCATATCATCAAGGAATCAATTGCGTGTAGATCGAAACCAGCTGATTCGGATGCAAAAACTGGAATCGGCTTTCTTCAAATAGCACCAGCAGATAACGACGAAGGCTACGTTCGGCGCCAGGACGAAACATGTTGGACTCTACAAAAAGAGAAAGATTAGAGTCCAAGTTATCTTAAATTAGGAATGTTTTCTTTAGAGTCAAAATTTGTGATGAGTCGTGCTTAGACAGGAGTCATGCGCAGATCCCGGGTATAAATATCAAACCCCGGCTATTGTAAAAAAAACACGAATCAATCAAATACAAGTCAATTACTTTTTTCGGCTCCGGCCACCCCTTAGGAGGAGTAGAGTAGATCTCGACGAGTTCTTCAGCAAATACGGCTGCATCGATCCGGTCGACCTCCACTGCTTGTTGTAAGTACCGTCATGGCTTATACATCTGTTCGTACGGCTGCATCGATCCGGTCGACCTTCACTGCGACTCTAGTATAAATTAGTTATCGATTCTTGTCTAGTTCAAGTATGGCTGCATCGATCCGATCGACCCCCACTGCATTAATTAGATCAAGGTCAAGTTATCGGCTCTACCTTAGAATGACAGTCTTTGGTAGATTCATCAAGTTACCGATATTGCTTATTGCTTTCATTGTTTATCTAATTACAGCAATATCACTCTGCCCGATTGAGATTGATTTGGATCGGCCTTATATATTATTTAACATATCATTTGCTAGCTAGAACTGACCTAATCTACATCCTAAACGATGAGTTATGTTTTTATCGGCTGTTTTATATCAATCTTAATCGTGCATAGCGTGCGGTTAAGGCATGTTGCGTCTTGGATAGATCTATTGACTAGCGAAAACCGTTCCACGACCCGTTATCACGGCTTGTGTAATTCTACCTCACACCCTATTGTTAGCACCGTGGAGTGGGGATCATTATTTAGTAGATCTATTGCTGGTAAGGCATGACCCTAACTGTGCGCTGTCTGAATCAGCTGTTTTAGCCGATATCGAGTGCTTTCACGAACAGTTCGCATCACGAGACCGTTGGAGTAAAGATAGGTTGAAAGATGTGTTAGCCCCATGATTTTATTATTGTATTACGGCCTGCATGATTCTGCCTCATGCCCCACTGATATTAGTAATGAGTTAGGGTCGTCAAGTCTATTGTTATTTCTACGACCTGCATGATTCTGCCTCATGCCCCACTGGTCATAGCGATAGATGAAATCTAACATGTTCATTAGATTTATCTTTATTAAACGGTCAAATGGTGTTGAATTGTTTCTTTATATAAAAGGGGGTTCGGTTACTTGTAATCATTGGCTCAGCATAAACCGATCATTGTTGATACCTTATTGCCATTGATTAATATTTGTTTAAATAACGACATTTACCCTGAATGATAACCGATTCTTCCTAAACAACCTAATGAGTTTTAACCGATTTATTCTCATGAATATGCTGGAATCGACTATTTAGTCGATCTCCTTTCATATCGGCTCTCATAGCCGCACATTCGGGACTGTCTGACAACACCGGCAAGTTCCGCCCTTAATTACTGATAAACTTTCCCTCCTTGTCAATTGCAGGGTCAAATTGACTGGCACGTCTCGGGAGGATCGCGCAGGATCGACCATCCCTGCGCTGAAGCTAGGCGGATCTGCTCCATCGAGCGGACCCTTCCGGCTTGCTGCGTGTGTCCTCGGCACGGGACGAAAATTCTGTGTCGACAACAGCTAAAAGCCAATAGAAGTAATCAAGGTGCCCTCAGTTTAGATTGTCAGAGAACCAACTGTCTCCTTCCCTACTGGTTACCTTGTCAATTGTATACACAAGGAAGCTACTGATGAAGCTCCAAGTCCAAATATGCTCAAGTATAGAGCAAGCCCCAAGCTGCGCAAACCATCTGGTACTTGGTCATAGAAAAATTCTTGCAAGCCGACCATTGTGAACACATCTGCCAAGCCAGACAGAATGAATTGAGGGACCACCCACCAGAAGCTCATAGGGATTGTGACACCGGGTTTGTCAACCAGGCCATAATCTCTTGCTACCCTGAACCTTCTCATCTCCACAAGGGCTGCGACAACCATCAGGATCACAGATAAAACCAATCCAATACCAATTCGTTGCAATGTTGTGATACCACAAGTATTCTTTGAGTATTTCTTGGCCAGTGGAATGAGGATGCGGTCATATATAGGAACAAATACAACAATTGACACACTGATCAAGCTTTGAAGGGTAGCAGCTGGTACCTGTAAGGTACCTATCCACCTATCTAGTGTACTTGCTTGCTTAGTGAATAGTGTCATCCATTGAGCAAAGACAACTGCATAGATCAGGCAGGTTGCCCCTATTGGGAGCAATTTTAGCACTGCAACAGCATCATCAGGGAAATATTTAGTTTCTCTGTTGTACTTGTCTCCCTTGGATGATGATGTAGTTGCAAAGTGAGACTCGTCAGATGATCTGCATGCCCAGAAGACGAAAAGAAGAAATAAGATAATAGTTCGAAAAGAAAGCTCAAGGGTAGTTAAAGTGGACTTACTTTGGATACCATGATGCACACCAGCATCGAATCCATGCAAGAAGTGATTTACCAATATTTTCAAATAGCCCTTTGCTACTCACTGGAGGATAGAAGCGGTACTTCTTTGTACCAAGCCAGAAAATTGCAAGAGAAACGGACATGGCAATGCATGGGATACCAAACCCAAACTGCCAGCTTATGTTATCTTGGATGTAATTCAAGATTGAAACTGTAATAATATTGGCTCCGTATGCCCCAAAGTACCACCAATTGAAGAAGGAGCTCCTTGAGGCACATTCTTCAGGATCATTCTCATCAAATTGGTCAGCCCCAAATGCTTGGACACATGGTTTGTGGCCCCCTTGAGCACATACCACTATGTAAAGTGACACATAGAAGAACGCTAAATGGATACCCATCCAGGATGCGGAGGAACCCATGTTGTCTCCAAATTGTGCTGGTTGTTGTGGCACAAAAATTGATGATAGGGTGAGCATACAATCCAGCAAACTAAATATAAATGACGCATGTCATGTCAATTGGTAAGCTTTCCTAATCCCAGGCTCTTTCAATGATTACATCAAGCACTGATTAAACAAATTATACATTTCTCTGTGCCTCTATGGTAATGTTCTACACGATTTGTTTCTTCGAAACAGCAGAAAGTTCAGTAATTCGATCCGAATAATTTGGCTCAGGGGCAAATTTTATCCAGTGAAGTTCAGTATTGACAGTCCATTCAAGATTCAGGCAGTTGGACATAATTAACTGTTGATAGTGGTTAGTCGAGTCTTATTGTTGCTTAATGGAAACTAAAGGAGTGGAAGACGCAGGTCCTCTTATCTGAATATGCAGTCAATCAAAACGGTAAAAGTTACATGGAGCAAGTCGTGAATAAACTGTCAAGATCAATGAAGTTATGGAACAGCATAAACTCCATTAAGGATCGAGGGTTAACTGCAGAGGAACCACTCTTAGCAATCCTAGTATTCCGGAACAGCATAAACTCCATGAAGTCTTGTTTTTGCTTTGGCAGATTGTTCTTATTCCATTAATAAGCATTCCTGAATCCTGAAACAAATTCCAGGGTACACATGTGTAATGGGTTACTCCAGTAATCACAGTGCATGCTAGTACAAACGCGTAGTGCCTACTACCTACTGGTATAGTTGAGATATGACTACATGAGGAAACTGGCAACAGTCTGTAGCTTTTCTTTCCTTTTTTGAGTCGTACGGGAAGCCTATAACTTTGGATGTTCGTTAGGAATCGAAGAGGCCGAAGAGACGATACCGCCAGAGAGCAGTACGAGAGCATACCAGGATGTAGAGGAGGGAGGCGCTGATGATAGTGCGGTAGCGGCCGAGCCACGAGTCAGCGACGGCGGCGCCGAGCAGCGGCAGCATAAGCGCGGCGCCGCTCCACGCGTTGATGGCCGCGGCGGCCGAAGCCGTGGACTGCCCGAGCGGGCCGGTGAGGTAGTTGATCAGGTTCCCCGAGATGCCCCCGAACGCGAACCGCTCCGAGATCTCCACCCCTGCGGCACACGCACACCGACGGCGGCAGGCGGGTCAGAGAGGCGGAGATGACGGCCGGCCCTGTTGACTTGCCTGCAGCCACGGGCTTCGGGGGGGCGTCTCGTGTTTTGGGTAGGGTTCTGGGTACCGATGATGAAGACGGCTGCGGTCCACCGGTCGGTGGTGTGGCGGGAGACCGGCCGGCCGAGGTGGTCCAGGGCGGTCGCCGGCTGCGGCAGGAGGGGCTCCGCCGCCACGTCCATGGTGAGCGGACCCACGCCCTCGCTTCCTGGGCTCCTGGCTCCTGCTCGTGCACCGTCAGCGACTATGCAGCAGCAAGGCCGTCCTGTTTCTCAGCAGCAAGGCCGTCCCAACTGGCAAACGGGGCCCATGGATGCTCCGTGCTCGTGTCGAAAACCCAATCCGATTCCGGTCCTCTGACCCCAATTATACCGTCGTCTCTAATCCCCAAATCCCATCGTCATCGAATCGGAACTATTCCGCTACCCGCTCCTATCGGATTCGGTGGGACGGTGGCCTATATATGCGCCCGCCGCGCGCCTCGCACCAGAGCTCACCAGCAACCTCCTCCGGAAGCGCGATCGCCGCCTTGAAGTCGAAGGAGCTGAGATCCATCAGTTCTTCTGTCGGTCGAGGGAAGTCGAAGCCAAGATCTAGGTAAAAATGTTTTACCGATATGCTTACCGTGGCAACTCGTTTGAGCAAACGTACCGCTGCTATCCACCATCCTTTGTTGGTAAGCCACACCTGGAAGGCGGTGACAAAGTAATAATGCCACAGTCTGCCCTTGATCGTCTTGCTTCTTTGTACATCGAGTACCCTATGCTATTTGAGCTGCAGAACGATGATGCAACCGACCAGCGGATTTCACACTGTGGTGTTCTGGAGTTTGTGGCGGAAGAAGGCATGATCATCATGCCCTACTGGATGATGCAGAACATGCGTCTTCAAGAGGGCGACATTGTCCATGTCAAGAACGCGACTCTTCCCAAGGGCACATATGCGAAACTGCAGCCTCACACGAGTGATTTTCTTGATATTTCAAATCTGAAAGCCATCTTGGAAAATACTCTGAGGAATTTCTCCTGCTTAACCACGGGTGACAGCATCATGGTAGCCTACAACAACAGACAGTATTACATTGATGTTGTTGAAACAAAGCCTGCTTCAGCAGTTTGCATTGTTGAGACAGACTGTGAAGTGGACTTTGCACCTCCTCTTGATTATAAAGAACCTGAGAAACCACGGCAACCAGCAGTTCCTGCAAGCAGCAAGGCAGCACCTGCGGCTGAAGATGGCAACACTACTGGAGTGGAGGATGAACCAAGATTCAAACCGTTTACTGGTTCTGGAAAGCGGTTGGATGGAAAAACCTCAAAACTGCAAGCATCTGATTCTGAGGTTCCTTCCACTGCACTTTCTGCGCCTTCAGATTCAAAGAAAAGAGCAAATCAGCAAATTTCAGCACCGGCAGCTTCAGTGGTTAGCAATTACAGTCGACAGAAAACTGGGAAGCTTGTTTTTGGTTCAAGTGCAAGCAACAATAAGGAACTACAAAAGGCTCCTGTTAAGGAGGAGGAACCCGCGAAGAAGAACGAGCCCAGGTTCCAAGCGTTCAGTGGGAAGAGCTACTCATTGAAGCGTTAGCTCTGCTACAGTTAACCTTACAGATTTGCCGCTACCCTTTCGTTTCGTGCATGGTGTTCTGGCACCTGGTCACCACCATGTAGATATGAATTGAATTATGTATATGCTTATCTTGATGGAAATATGGTCATCTGTGTATTTAAGCTCAAAAGCTTAAAACACTGCTATTGTCCTTCCTTAAAAAAAACTGGAAAAAAACACTGCTCCAATTATAATTGTCATAGAGTAGGTGATTTTTTGGATTCTTTATTTTGCTAGTTTAAAATTCTGATGTGCCGTCAGCAGAAACAAAAATAATCAAAACGTTCAAGATGCAAGGTTTTTAGAAGCTGCAACAGTAAGAATGAAGGCTTGGTTGCGGGTCTTTTGGGAACAAACTGAAAAAATGGAGGTGGAAGGTCTGCTCTGAACATTATCAAGATTCAGGAAGAAGATGGTGGTGCAGTAGACGTCTGAATTCTGGAGGCTCTTGCTTGCTGTCGTGTTTTTGTTTTTTATGCCTCGATAGTCTGATGGTTGTTAGTTTGTTAAGTGAAACTTTCTTAGTAGGTGTCGGAGGTGGTTGTTTTGTCTTGATGTAAGCTGCTGCTGGTTATGTCCGGTGAGCGTGCGAGTTTTTTATCCTTTCCGCTTCTAAGCTGGTTTCCCCAGCGGGTGTGGTGGCGTGCGTTTGTATCTGATGCTTATTTCACTTTCTATAAAAGCAGGGTTCAAAAATAATAATAATCAGGTTTAAGTTAAGATCTCTATTATTGGCCGATCCAACCGAGAATAGAGCAAAGGGGGGATGATTTTCCAACGAAGTAAGTTTAGTTGGCTGCTGAGACACTCAAACAACTGTACTACTGTACTTTTGCCTATAAGATGAACAAATTTATATTAACGTTTATTAAAAAAATCCGAGAAATTTTGTGAGGATGTAAAACCGTCACGAAAGACAAAAAACAGCCACGACCCTCACGAATCAAACACCACGTAAATTTGATTTGTGTGACAGTCAAACATCATGAATGTATTTCGTAGTGGCGACCATCATGAAACATAGAGCATCGAGAGGTTTGTATAATACTCATAGAGGTGCCCAACACACAGAGAAAAATATTTCATGACGATGCATGACTCGCACGAAAATAATTCATGATGTTTTAAAACCGCAATAAAACTAGTCTCAACAGACACGAACACATCTATATCTATAATCTATAATTTGTATGCAATTCATGCCCTAAGAACAGTTAATTCTTCTAAAAAGTAGCGCTCACACTTCCATGTCAGTGTAGAATCATTGCTATTTGACTCGGACCTGTTCTGAAAAAGTTGAGGTATTTCGAATTGTTTGTTGACACAGACAAGTTTCCCTCCCCTGGATTGCAAGTATGTAATTTCCCCTTTGTTGTTTTAATATATATGAAAATCACTGTGGGGAACTCCCCCATAGTTTTTGGTGTTCAAAAAAGTTTCCATCGGAGCCACAAGGGACTGTTTAAACTAATTCGTTTCTGTCTATAAAAATGGGGTTCTTTATCTTTCGTATACTTATAAAAATTGTTATTATTGTAGTTTACTTTCTTATTTGGAGAGTTTCCGCAACTATTATATCTATTTGCATAAATACCTCGACGGTTCTCTAGCGTTATTATTGGCGAAAGAAGGTGAGCCTCTAGGTGCGGAGGACTCTACAAGGTATCGAAGTATTGTTGGTGCGTTACAGTACTTGACATTCTCTATCTTTCTATCTAAATCTTTTCATCAAATTCATTGTTGCCCTTAGCGTTCTGGTGTGGGTGAGGAACCGGCGGCCACGCGCTCCAGCGACCGCGGTTGGTCTCCCGCACGCTTCTTCTTTGTGCGGGGCAAAACAGGCTTATGTGCTTGTTGGGGCCATCAGGGTGAGTTAGAGCTGGATGAAGATACTAATTTTAGCTCCACCATCCGCATATCCTTTGTCTAAGCAGGTTTTAAGGGCTCTTTAAGTGAAGCTGTTGGGTGCAAAACGGCTCAATACCAAGGTTCTGTAATTCAACCGAGATGGTCCGAATTTCGGTGAAATTTGTCCATTTCAGTTAAGCCAGAAACGAATTTTGTGCTTCAAATCTCGAAACTCGCCGAATTGAGTCCGAAATTCAACAGAAATTCGTCCGTTTCGGTTGGGACCGAAAATTTTCCAAAGTGAATCCTAGAACCTTGCTCCAAACAGCCAGCGGTGGAATTGTGTCAAACGAAACCTTAAAGTTGTACTTGTGTTGTGGAATTCCAAAATCAAAAGCAGCGAGGAGCCATAAATTTTAGGAATGGCGTCTCGCAATACAAATGGCTTGCAATAATGATCCTCATGTTCTTTGTTGCATTCCTACTATTTTTTCATTAATCAATTAAATTTCACCCCTTTTGGCTTTTTTTAGATGTCTATTGTTGTGAAGATGATAAAGCCGACGACGCTGAACCAAAACATCATTAGTTTTGTATCCATGTTTCCATCAAATTTGTTGTTGATCGAGCGTGGAAGCTAAATATCATTTAAAACAATGCATTTCATGAAAAACTATTGGCCCTAACAGTGAAAATCCACCATCATACCGTCTCGTCCATGACTCATAATCACGGCTTGCGTTTATATACAATCCAATCACACCAAAGAATCTGATTTCTTAAACATATCTATAATGATAGGATGAGCACGTCCGGCCAGCCGCACTCTCTCTCAAAAAAAGAACTCTCCACATGTGGCCGTCTGCTCATCCCACTCCCCACAGCACCTCCATCCCACGCCATCCCCCGCGGCGCCTCCGCCGGCCCATTCCTCCACCCACCAGGCCCTCGCCCGGCGCCTTCTTCCCGCCCCTACCTGGCCAGAGCTCGTCGACAGCCGCATGCACTAGCAATCGGCCCATTCCTCTCGGCCAGAGCCCGGCGACCTAGGACGGTGGTAACCGGCAATGCGACCAAAGCTCACCGGCGGCCTGTCCCCGCCACCCCTCCGCTCGCCTCCAAAATGGGCCACGATGGCGCTATCCTCTGCCTGTCCATCCCCCGCTCTGCACTACGTCGTACGAAAGGAGGGTGAAGAACGCATGTTGCAAGGGTATGTTTCAAGTGTTCAAATGTTTCAGAGATACGTTGCAAGTGTTTCACGCGGATGTTGCAAAAGTAGATCGGGATGTTGCATATGTTGCAATAGTTGTACACGTATATGTTTTTTCGACATATGTTGCAAGTGTGTTTTTTTGAATGTTGCATATGCTTTACACATATGTTGCAAGTGTCTTATCTAGATATTGCGTATATTTTATAATGGTTTTCAAGTGTTTTTAGGTGTTTTTTCAAGTGTTTTAGATGCATGTTTCACGTGTTTCATCTGCTTTCGGACATATGCCGCAAGTGTTGCATATGGATGTTTTAAAAGTAGATCGGGTGTACATCTCCCTCCTCGCTTTTCTGCTGCCTTGCCTCAGCGTCTCCTCCTCCTCCCAGAGCTGGCTGGGCATCTGCCGCCCCTCCCTCTCTTATTGATGTTGTTGACATTCAGGGCGGCGTGGCCCCACATGAGCGCGTGAAACGGCGTGGGAAACAGACTTCAGGGCGCGCCTGTCCCCATAAACATATTGGAACTAGTCAGTACCCCGGGCGTTGCTGCGGAAGTCATCGTAGTCATGATTAGTCCTGATTTAAATATGAATCATTCCAGGAAAGTGAATTCAAATTGAGGACCATTGCACATTACAAAATAAGGATGATTAGAAAAAGCAAGAAGGTTTAGTTAGTTTGGAGTAACTGTAGAGAGTAGTTATCATCATCCTATTTTTGTATAGGATAAGAATTCAGTTGTAGCTGTCGTAGGTTGATGTTGATATCTGGGATCAATTACTGAACAAACATGATACGCAGATGATACCCTCCTGTACTCAAATTTGTTGACAAATAAAATATTAGTATATATTTATGGTGCCTGTCATCATGTAGAGGCAGTACTGGCAATAAATTCATCATATTTGACAGGGTTTTAGACTGGCACAAAAGATTAGACATGTTTTTGTAAGGAAGGATCCTAGTGCAATATATCCGGAAGATAGTAAACTCAACTGCAGAGCTCAATTATTGTCATACAAAATGGTCTTAAGAGCAATATAGGTGGGTGGGAAGGGGGAGAAGGTTTTCTAGTTCAGGTTAGAATCACAATGCAGAAAAGATTAAAATGCAAAGTCCATATAAATAGAGAGTTCAGAGGTAGCGGTAGGAGCTTATACAAAATAGAGCCAAGATCGTCACCAACATATTCGGTCTACCAAAAAAGGAAAGAAATACAGTAAAGCGTACTTGAATTTTTGAGCACCAACAGTCACAACATACGAAGTTCTATGAACCTGGTGCAAGCCTAACACTCTGAAACAGAAGTATTGCACTTGTTGGTTTACAGATCATAATGAAAGATCTTGTGGAAGAAAAGGAGGTAAAAGAAATATCTGCTAGTGCTAGTGCCAAAATATGCAGTCCCGGAAAAGAGCAGCTGTGAAAGGATCTGGATTAACATGAAGGGCTTACAATATTTTGAACCCATGATCAAAGAAGCCGAGGCTCTATCTCCTTTCAAATTAGGAAATCATGTGGAGAACTTGGAAAGTGAACAAAGTGAAACGGGTAGTTGGAGAAGGTCCCCAAAAAAATATTCGAACAGAAAGGTAGTTGCTTACCTTTTAAATATTTAAACCGCCTGATTCATGTATTTGTAAAACAGCTCCTGCAAAAATGGTACAGGTGCTTTTATTCAGTGTGCATACATAGTAGCTCGAAGGTGAAAGTTCTCAAGCATGCCAAGTAGCACTGAAGGGCACATAAATTTAGGTTTGGGGTGTTGGCCCACGGGATCACCGTCTGGCGATAGTGAACTAGTCTCCAGATCACTAGTCTCAGACTACTAGTCTCCCAGACCACTAGTCTTCCAGGCCAGACCACTAGTCTTCCCAGACCACTAGTCTCCCAGACCAGACCACTAGTCTTCCCAC